TGTTGGCTCTGGGTGCTGAAGCTACCGTGGCTCCCACCATGGTGGGTGCAACGAGGACCACCCAAGCCAAAACCCGGCCCTGGCCCTAGTGGAGGTGGAGACCACGTGATGTTAGGAGAAGAGGCGATGGCTTTTGCCGGGGCTTTAGAACCAGGGGAATGAAAGGGGCCAGAGCTCGGTCCACTCAAGGCAGGAAGCCAGGCCAGTGACTATAGTCTAGAGGTGGGAGCATGGGGGATGCAGGCAAGGCTGAGTGGAAATTGATGGGAGCACAAAACTGGGGCTGGTGGGTCTCCATACTATTTTTGAAATAGGTTGAGACTTACTTTATGGACTAGTATGTAGTCACTTCCTCACAAATGTGCTTGAGAAGGATGTTTATTTTCTAAGTGTTGAGTGCAAGATTCTAATAGGTCTATTAATCAAGCATACTAATCATATTGCTTAATCTTCTATACTTTACTAATATTTTACCTGCTTGACCTATCAATAATTGAGAGAAGTATGCTGAAATCTTCCTCTATGATGGTGGATTTATCAATTTCTCCTTGTAGTTCTATCAGTGTGTAAGGCTATTTTATATTGTGTTTATGTATGTTTAAAAAAACTATTTACTGAGAAAAATTTCAATATACAGAAAAGTAGAAAAACTAGAAACACCTATCACCTAGATTTCACATTTGTTGACATTTTGCAATATTTGCTTCACTGTTTTTTTCCCTGACGTAAGTTACAACTTTGTGTCATTTTACCCCAAATACTTCTCTATGCATCTGTAAAAATTAAGGATATTTTCCTGAAGTATAATATCATAATGAAGTTAACAATTCCTTATTATCATCCAATACCCAGCTCATATTTGTGTTTCCCCAATTACCCGTTTGCCCAAATGTCTTCTGCTGCTAATTTGTTCAATTCAGGATGCAATCAAGGTCCACATTGTGCATTTGGTTGTTATGTCTCTTAAGAGTCTTTCATGACATTGACTCATTGAAGAGATTTGGTCACTTGTGTGATAAATGTCCTACCTTCTGGATTTGTCTGTTAGCTTCCAAGTGGTGTCATTTAACTTTTTCCCCAAATTCTTTTATTTCCTATAAACTGGAAATTAGATGTAAAGGTTTAGGTTAAGCATTTTGATAAGATGCCTTTAGGTGATGCAACGTGAGGGGTGCTTCATATTCATATTGGGAAGCACATGATATCTGGTCAGTCCACTGTTAGTGGGTATGGTGATGACAGCCTGATCCCTTGATTTTAAAGTTAGGTTTCCCTCTTGAGATTAGCAAGGAATCTGTGGGGATGATACTTGGATATTTGCGTTATGCAAATATCCATTTCTCCATCAACCTTTCACTTAATGGTTTTAGCATCCACTGATGATCCTTGCCTGAGTCAATTATTTCATTAGAAGTCGTGAACAGTTATTTTATATCATTCATCTATATCCATTAGCTACATTTTTCTGTAAAGAAGAGCTTTCTTTCATCAGCTTGAGCCATCTTGTTACCTGGAAGTATTTCTACGGCAAAGCAGAATAATGTTTAATTTTTTTTCTCTTTAAATACCATTTCAGATCAAGGCCTTGGTGTGATAACCAACTCCAGTGGTGACAAAGTGTTTGTGTTTTTTTCTTTTCTTTTTTCTTCTTTTTGTTTACAAGTTTCAACTTACTATATCTTCCTGGCGAATTGAACATTTTTAGGATTATGTGGTGACTCTCTTTATCCTAGAGTCAGTTTTGTCTTTTTGTTCTAAGTCCCTATTTAAAAAAATTATTATATAGCTTCCTTAGCTTAAATTTGGTTAAGTGCTTGCTTTCTATATCTTTTTTCATCTTTTTAGTTTTAATGGTACTGTAACCTAATGTTTTGGGTGTATCTCTTACAAATAACATGTAGCTGGATTTTACATTTTTATCCAATTTGACTATCACAATGTATTAGTTGGAGAGTTTAATGTTTATTGTGACTATTGATACTTTTGTTTTTAGCATCCTATTTCACATATTCTATTTGTTCCATTTCTCTATGCTTTCTCTCCTCTTAGCTCTCCTCCTCCTTCTTTTGAGATTGTTTGATATTTATTGGTTTTTCCTTAATCTATTTCTTGTTTTCATTGCTTTGGAAGTTAAACACCTTATTTCCATTCTTTTGGTGGTTACTCTTTTGACTGCTTAGAATCTAGTACACACTTTTTGTAACATAGCTTTACTTATTTATCTTGCTAGGTTTTAAGAAGGCGAGGTGCTTCTCTATTTGCTTAGTTCTCTTCACTCAATAGCCTGATGGCTGATATCAGGGTCTCCTTTGCTGCCCGTTTCCCAGAATGTTTTAATGACAGTGGTTCAGGCACAGGATGTGTGCTCATTGACACCTAGCGGCTTTCTCACCTGGAGATGAAAACATGCTGATCTGAAGATGAAAACATCAATACTGGAGGATAGAGCTGGGTTATGAGATGTTCAGCAGGAGGGATTTTCATGGTCACAGAGGATAAATGATACCTTTAATCGATGTTTAAACCCCACTCTTGAACAATTTAAGAACTTTAGAATATTTTAACTCCAAGTATCCCCTCCTGACTTACATGCTCTTGTTATCCTGTATTTTACTTAGGCTTTTAAAAATTAACCCACAAGATAGATCTTATTATTATTTTATCCTCCTCTTTTTTTTTTTTTTTTGCTGAGGAAGACTGGCCCTGGGCTAACATCTGTGCCCATCTTCCTCCACTTTATATGGCATGGCTTGCCAAGCAGTGTGTTGGTGCGCGCCTGGGATCCGAACCTGCGAACCCTGGGCTGCCGCAGTGGAGTGCATGTACTTAACCACTTGCGCCACCGGGCTGGCCCCTCAGTTTTTTATTTTAATACTTACAAGTTTTATTTCTAAGAGCTCCATATGGTTGGTCTTCACATCTGCCTGTCATTTTTGCTTGATTATTAAAATATCCATCTTTTTTTAAACAGAAAACAAGTGTTGGTAAGGATGTAAAGAAATTGGAACCCTTGTTCACTGTTGATGGGAATGTAAAATGATGCAGCCATTATGAAAAACAATAAAATATTAAAATAAAATTACCATATGACCCAGCAATTCCACTTCTGGATATATACCCAAAAGAATTGAAAGCAGGGTCTTGAAGAGATATTTGTACACCCACGTTCACAGCAGTGTTATTCACAATAGCCAACATGTGGAAGCAACTGAAATGTCCATTGACAGATGAATGGACAAACAAAATGGGGTATAAACAATGGAATATCGTCATCCTTAAAAAGAAAGGAAATTCTGACACTTGCTATGACATGGGTGAACCTTGAAGACACTACACTAAGTGAAATAAGCCAGTTACAAAAAGGCAAATACTGTATGATTTCACTTATATAAGGTACCTAGAGTAGTCAAATTCATAGAGACAGGAAGTAGAATGGGGGCTGCCAGAGGCTGGGGGGAGTGGGAGAAAAGAGAGGTTATTGTTTAATGGGTACAAGAGTGCCATTTTGGCAAGGTGAAAACAATTCTGGAGATGAATGGTGGTGATGGCTGCACAACAAAGTGAATGTACTTAATACCACTAAACTGTACACTTTAAAATGGTTAAAATGGTAAATTCTATGTTATGTGTATTTTACCACAATTAAAAACAATTTTAAAATGTGGAAAAAATATCCATTTTTAATTTATTTAAAGATTTCATAAATCATTACCATATTGGAGGCCTGTAGTGTGGTAGTTTATAGCATGAACTCTGGAGTCAGAATGCTTATGTTCAGCTTATCAGTATGTGACCTCAGGCAAGGTACTTAACCTCATTGTGCCTAGTTTTTTAATCCATAGGATGGGGATAAAAATAGTACCTATGTCATAGGTTTGTGTGAGCATTAAATGAATCAGTACACAATGAAGCATTTAGAATAGTGTCTGGCACATAGAAACACTCTATTAGTTCTTATTGTAATTATCTGATAGTTCTAACATCTGAAGTCCTGGGAGTTTTATTTGCTGTTTTGATGATTTCCATTCATGTACACCCACGCTGCCCCATGGTTTTTTCTTTTTATAAAATTGGCTGATCTTTGAGTGTGAGCTCAATTTGGAGGATCTTTGTCAGGGAATCCTGACGCTCTGAATTCAGAATGTTTTACTCCTCCAATAGATCTGCCACCTGGGACCACATTTGCCCCCTTCAGTTGTCTCTGCTTCATGTGGGAGCCCCAGGTTCAGCTCCCTCCCTGCAGTGAGTCTAGGTTTAGTTCTGATCTCAGCCTTCATGTAGGTCTTTGTCCCTAGGGAAACTCAAGACTTTAGTTAGCCGTTGCTCCCAGATCTTCACCTTAGTTTCAGCTTATGATTCTAATGCTTTTGTTTTATTTATTTATTTATTTGCCTTTGAGGATTTCTGTTATTTCCTAAGAACCTAGTAAGACATTAACAAGTATATTTTGTCTGGGATCTGACTCAACTACAGCAAGAGGGTCCTCAGAATACCTGGGCCTCCATATAGTGGCCAGGGAAGTCCACAAGGCTTAATTCTCTGATCATTTTGAGTGCAGGAACTTATTCATGCTTACATCCCCAGAACCCAGCTTGAAGATCACTTCATACTTGGCAGGTGATAAATGGCATTTTTTTTTTTTTAAATAAATGAAAGAAACTACACCCAAGGCTCTCTAGGTAGAAGTTAGGATTTAGAGGTGCAATATCTCTTTCCAGCCACTTGGGGAGCGCCATGATGTGTCAGCCTTGAGTGCCCGGATCATCTTCTTCCCAAGCCATAGGTTATCCCGGGCCCATAGCTGATATCACAGGCAGGGAGGAAGGGGGAGGAGGGAATAGGAGAAGGCCCTGTGTGGGAAGGATACTTGCTCGCCCTGGTTTCCCCAGTCTGCAGCTCACTGTTGCCCAACTCAGCAGCTCTAGTCTCCATGTCTCCTTTTTCTGTTTCCTCGACTTTGAGAATCAATTGTCTCCCTAGGATCTTTTCCTACCCAGGCCAAAGAATAAAGTTCAATAGTCATAGCTCAGTTCTTATCAAGCAGCCCAGTCAGCCTATGTCAAGACTTCATGTACCTGTTTAATAACAGTGATCAAAGAGGTAACAATAACGACAGTAAGTAACAGTAGTTGCGCCAACACCAGGACAGTGCATTTTACATTACAGCTGGTTTCTTGCTTGAGTAGGCTTGGGGATGGGTGGAGAAGGAGAGGGCTGGCTCAAACACTTTCCTCCCTCTACTCCAGCCCTTGGTCGTCTGGGCTTTCACCAAAGAGTCTACTTCCATTCAGCAGAGAGGGCGAGTTCCTTCTTGGCTTAGCAATGCCTTCTGAGACCTCGGTCCAGAGTCTGGCCTATTCAGTGGGCTACGTCTCTCTCCTTGGGATGCCGGGAGCACTGGGGGTGGCTGAGCTGAGGCCGTTGACTTTGTCCTGGGTGCCTGTGGGCTGTGGCGTCTCTTATAAGAATGGAGGCCCTTTGCTGCGCCAAGCAATGCTGAGCCGTGGGGCAGAGAGGTGTGCCCAAAGGGGCTCTTGCTGTGTCTGACTTCTGGGGGATCCCCAGGTGGGCAAGACAGTGAGGAAGCAGTTTCCTGCACTGCAGAAGGGCAGCAGCATCATGGCTCAGACTGGAATAAGAGACCAACAAAAAGAGAGTCAGATGATTTGAAACTGGACAAAGTGGTGACGTGTGCAAAATTCATCTTCCTTTTCTGAAGCTCTTTGCTCCTCTCTCTACCCTCTAGGGAAGTCTCATAAACCTTTCCACCCTCCTTCTTATCAGAGTCTGTTCTCTGGAAAGCAGCTGGTAGTCTCATTCTGCCAGAGAACAGAGAATGGTAAAGCTGGGTATGTTCCATTCCCTAAGGAATTTGCATTTAATGAGAATCTCTGATCTAAGGAATTTCACCTCTCAATGGTGGAATCCCAGGCTGTCACTTACTGGTAGAGAAAATTATTTGGGATGTAAAGGGTTGTCTCAGAGCCATTTAAATCAAACCTAGGGATGATTTGGTCCCCTCAGGGTAGAGGAAGGGAGGGAGGGCACAACAGGTAGGGCAAACATGCTCACCTTCCGGACATTGTAGATCCAGTTGAGAAAGGCTGTGACCCTGGTGTATACTCCCGGGGTACCTGGGCCCCCACAGCCATGGCCCCAGCTCACGATGCCCACCACTTGCCACTGGTCAGAGTGATACATCAGGGGCCCACCACTGTCACCCTGTGAGAGGCCAGAACAGGGGTTGCTGGAGAGGGCAGGCAGGGGTAGAGTGGAGGGGTGGGCTTCTCCTTCCTCCTCTCCCTGCACTGGCCCATCTGTTCTGTGCTCCCCCAGCGCTCTCTGCTGGTCCGCCCTCACCCCCTCTGCTCATGCTGTTCCTGCAGCTTGGAATGCCCTTGCCTTTGGGGGCAAAAAGGTTCTGTCTGTGGTGAAGTAAGTTGTGGGCATGCTGACAGCCCTCTCTCGGAGATCCACAACTCACACTAGCAAATTGAAGGCTCTAAGGAGTTCTGCATGAAGGAAGCCTGGTGATCTCTGTTTAACCTAGTACTTCCCAAATTTATTTAACCACTTGTGGAATGCCTACTTCGTGCTAGGTACTGTTCTAGACAATTGCGATCAATGAAAAGAACCAAGATCCCTGCCCTCAAGGAGCTAAGAATCAAATGGAGAAGAGAGAGAGAGGGAGAGAGAAAGGGAGAATAAACAAAGAAGACAGACAAGAAAATGTCAGATAGTGATAAGTGCACTTGTTTGGTGCCCTTCTTACCAGCTCTTGTAGCCCTCGAGACTTCTTCCCTCACAACTCAATAACACCATAGCCTAACTGCCTGTTTATGCATCGCCCCCCCCCCCACCACCACTGTGAGCTCCCTGAGGGAAGACACTGTCCCAAAAGCCCAGCATTTACCTGGCATTCCAGAGATGACTGACAGATTCCTCTTGAGAGCAGGAATTGAGTGACAGAGAATGGGGGCAGGAGTAGGGTTGGGGGTTTTAATGAGAATGGCTCAGAAGATCCTCTGGGGGGTGGGAGAAGTGAGAAGGTATTCAGGGATTGGTCAGCAGGGATGGGGTGAGAGGACCTTGCACCAGGACTCATCCAGCATTAGATGGGTTTTCTCTAGTGTAGTTGAGAAGCTTGAGGACAGTTACAGAGAAAACAGACGTGGGGTTCTTGCCCTCAAGGGGTTCATACTCCTATAGATGATGGGACCGAGGGGTGGGTGGGGAGGGTAACATCATCTCTGTGAAATATACATTTGACATCTTTCTGCTTGTCTTCATCCATCCATCCAGCCATCCATCCATCCAGCCATCCATCCACCCACTCTTATATCTTTATCTGACTATAATCCTTCCTTCCCTCCGTCTCTCCCTTCCTCTCTTCACCACATTGAATGCCCACCAAATGCAAGACTTCATGTGGGGCATTCAGTCTTTGGACTTTCACCTCTCTCTAGGACCTACATCCCTCTCCATAGCATTCCCTCACGATCCTTGGAGGCCCCACCTGGCAGGCGTCCACGCCGCCCTCCAGGACGCCTGCACACAGCATCTTCTCGGTAACCTCCTCCTGGTACGCATCCTCTGCGTTGCATCGAGCGCTGTCAATGACCTGGACCGACGCCTGCAGCAGTGTGTCAGACATCTTCCCTGAGAGGTTGAAAACACACTCACATTCCCATTCCTGCCTTCTACCCCCAGCCCAGGATAATTCTCTGGGTTGCCAGGCACCTTGGTGCTTGAACCTCCAGGATGGGTTTTTCTGAAGGATGGTCCTCCTTCCCATCACCTCCGAGAGCTGTTCCCTCGGCCCTGTAATCCTGAGCCCAGGACTTACCTCCATCCTGCTCCGTAAAGCCCCATCCGATGACCCATAGTGGGGTGGCTGGAGGGAGCGTCTCATCAGAGAAGGGCAGGCAGATGGGCCTGACTGTGCCTGCCAGAAGCAGAGAGGAAGAGGAGGCTCAAGGCTCAGGAGAGTCTGGTGGCTGAGCCTTCGGAAAGGGTTGACACCAGGATCTCTATAACACATGTTCCATGGGAGATTAATAGAAATGGCATGAGAAAAAGGGTTCTATGGTCAAATAAGTTTAGAACATGTGAGTTAAACATAATAAAACAAATTATTTTAAAAACTTTTAAAAACTTCTCATATCTTTAGTATACTAAGGTGATCCAAGAAGAGAGTTAGAGTATAAAAATGTTTCCCAAACTCATGTGAGAATAGAATCCTCTTTTCCCCAAGGAACCAGAGTCTTGTGGAACCAACAGTTGGAAATACTGATCTAAATACTACCCAACATAAGCACGAGTCATCTGACAGAGTTGTTCAAAGAGTCTATGGGTTGCCTCAGCAGTAATGAGTTCCCTGCCCCTGGAGGAGGTCGAACAGGCATAATGTCCCCTTGGCAGGGATCTTGTGGGGGCTCTTGCCATTGGTTGAGGGTGGACGATGGACTAGATGATCTTTTAGGTCCCTCACAACTCCAAGATTGGATGAATCTATGATCCTCACTTGTGGTGCTCCCCATGGAAAAAAGCAGACCTCAGAAGAATCTCTAGTGGGGGATGGGGTATCAGCTGACAGCTCAAGGAGCCTTCATGGCTTCAGTGATTTTAGGCTGATATGTTTGCTGGAAACAAATGGGCAACTGAAGTCTTGAGAGGAGAATTGATGAGCCCAAGGCAACCTAGTGAGCTAGTGGCAGATGGAGTGTAACCTGACCTCAGGGGCTGTGTTCCCAGGTGCCACCTCTCACCTGAGAACGTGAGTGGGAACTGCAGCTTCACGAGGGCAATGTCCTTCTCTTTGGGGTGGGTGGTGTTGTGCTCAATGATGAAGATCTTGGCCACAGGCAGGGATGGGAAGTTGCCCAATTTGTCTGAGCCGGCTCTCACCTTCCAGTTGGACACATCGAGATGCTTCCTGGGGCAGAGACAGCAGGGTTCAGGCCTGAGCCAAGTATGGGGAGGCTTTGCCAAAGGCTGGGTCCCCAAGGCCTGGGGATTGGGGTGCTGGATGACCCTGCCTTAGGAGGTAATGACGGTGGGAGCTGGTGTGGTGGAGAAGGAGCAGTCTGAGGAATCACGTACCACAGGCCAAATTCTAAAAGGGGATTTGATCCTTTTTCCCCAGTGAAACCTGCCCAAGGAAACTTCTAACTGGAGGGCTGAGGAAGGGGCAGTCCCTAATGTCTGAGCTCTGGGGCCCTGGCACTCCCTCCTCCAATGCTTTCTTTGTCTGTGCTACTCATGTGGTCCTTGTATTGTGGGCAGTTACGTATTGTGCTTGTCTTTCTTCCTCCTGACACCAGACACAGCTTAGTGTGCATGGGTGGTTTTCCAGGAAAGGATTTATAGCTATTGTCAGATTCTCAAAAAAGGTTAAGAATCACTGGCTTAGACTGTGAGTTCCTCTAAGGTAGTGACGGGTTCTAATGCATGTAGACACAAAATATGGTGCTTGGTACCTAGTAGGCACTCATTAGATATTGAATGAATGGATGAATGAAAGTGGTCCTTCTCTAGAGGGAAGGCCTATAAGGGAATCTCTGCTTTTTTTTTTTTCTGAGGAAGAGTCACCCTGAGCTAACGTCTGTTGCCAATCTTCCTCTTTTTTTTCACTTGAGGAAGATTAGCCCTGAGCTAACATCTGTGCCAATCTTCCTCTATTTTGTATGTAGGTTGCCACCTCAGCATGGCTGACAAGTGGTGTAGGTCTGCACCTGGGATCTCAACCCATGAACCTGGGCTGCTGAAGTGGAGTGCACTGAACTTTAACCACTAGGCCACAGGGCTGGCCCCTCTACTTTTCAAAAATAAGTTTCTGGACACAGTGAGGGAGTGGCAGTGAGTCTAGACCTTGGAACCACTTCTTAGAAGACTGGCAAATATGGAGAGAGTTCTCGGGACTCCAGGCAGCTGGGAAGAGTGAATGATATGGGAGTGGAGTGAGGACACTGGGTATTTGATGTCTTTCCACCTGGAAGAGGTCAAGCTTGGTGACCACCACTCTGCTCAGACCCCAATGCCTAACAAAGGATATCACATCCAGTGTCTCATTGGGCTGGCCACACCCTGGCACATGGTCTTTAGAGGGACAGTGAAGAGGGTGAAGACATCAGAACACAAGTCGGGAGACAGGGGACCCAGGCACTCCGGCCCCTCCATGGCTTTGACCCCCCAGTCTGGACCTCACCTGAAGCAGTGGGCTGCCGTGAGGATCCAGTGGGGGTCCAGGATGCTCCCTCCACAGATATGTTGTTTGTTGTACTGGATGCTGACCTGCCAAGGCCAAGAATCCACAGAGGCCTTCTCCCCGCCCACCACCCGGGGGGCCTTCAGGCTCTCTCCACAGGCTGGAGTCAGTAGGAAGGAGGGAGAAAGCAGGAGTCAGGCTCTTGGGAGATGGGGCTGCCTCCCCTTAGAGCCCAAAGTCCATGCTGAGCAGGCTCCTTATGACTGGGACCCAGGTGGGTGAGGAGGACCAGGCCAATTTCGAATTATTCAAGGGGACCTATTGAGTGTCTCAGACCACAGGCTTTCCCCCAATCTCTCTGTCCTTTTTTCAGCTTTGCATGTGTTTAGGAGTTTATACTGTGAACATGGGCGTGCCCATTGTGCTGGGAATTCATGAACTTCAAACCAACCAACGACACAGAATTATGAAAGTCCTGCCTGGGTGGATCGTCCTCAGTCACTCCTGCTGAGTAACAGTAAACAGACGCCCACAGGCTGCTTTGGGAGCCGGAAGTGGGAAGAGAGTTCCAGAAACTGGATCTTCCCATACTAAACTCACCTTTCTCCAAGTTGCTTCCCCCCTGCTGAGTGAGTCTCCCAAGTGGACAGCCTGTTCTCTCTTTCACACCCCACTGTCCCGGCTTTCATATCTGACCCTGGAACCCCTGTAAAAACCTTCAGTTCCATCTCCCCACCCTGTTCTCAGCCTCTCCAATCCTTCTGGCAGTCACTGCCACAGTGGTGGAGGGGGAAAGGCTACCACCCTTCCTGGGCCTATGCTAGCCATCTAATTCCAGACACTATCTAATTCCAAGCGCTGCTTTCTACGTCAGCTCACTCTCTCACTCAAAGCCCCATAGCGTCTCTCTTTGTCTGTAGGGTAGAGTTTAAACTCCTCCTCCTGGCGGCCTCCTGCTGTCCTTATATAAAGTTTCTGTCTAGCCAAATTGATCTGCTGGTAGCTCCCTAAAAAGCCATTCTGTTTTTGCTCAAGGAAGCCCCCATCCCTGAGATGCTGTCTCTTCTCCTGTTTCTCTAAATCATTGATTCATTCAGCAAATTTGTATTGAGTGCCTACTGTGTTCAGGGATGCCGGGAAGAGAGTGGTGGACAAGACAGAAAGACAGACTGGTCCCTCCCATCCTGGGGCCTACAGTTCCTTCTTCAGTGTTTAGCCTGGGCATCACGTCTGGGCAACCCAATCCCTGGGGATTTTCCTCTCTTGGAATTTCCATAGCCTGTCCTGGGTGTCAGCCAGCATTCACTGTTGTTGTGGTTTGGTCTTATCCTCTCAGTGAGATTGAAGGCTCCTCAAGGGAGGGTCTGTGGCTTAAGCCTCTCTGTGACTGCAGTGGTATTCACTGTAGCACATCAGATGATGTGACCATTCGTTGACTAGCCACTGTGTGTCAGCCCCACACACTAGGTATTACGGGGGTCACATGATAATTACTAAAAGTCTTAATATCCAACAGGGAAGCATATATACTGCTAAACTGAAGGCAGTGATGGTGACCTTCTTCTTCTCAGGCTTTCCAGCTTCTGACCTTCCTTCCAGGCTCTGCTCAGTTCTTCTCCCATGAGGCTGGTGGGATGAGCTGGGCCACAGTACTTGTTTGCTCTTCTGACCTTCTCTGTTAGAGCTACAGGGTCCTCAGGATCCTTGCTGGGTAGTTGGACTGAAGGGCTTCTTGGGAAGATGAACCTCAGAGAGGTCAGGTGAATTTTCTACTTCCAACCAGCACCTGACAGTGCTAGACACATTCTAACTGTTCAATGAATCTTTGCTAAACTGAATGTTGGATAACTGAGCTGGTTGTGACAAAGGAGGTTATGTCGGCCCTGACCTGGGGTGGGAGGGGGTGGAGGCCCAGTCCTGCCCTTTCCGGTTTTCCTACTCTCTCTCCCAGGTCTCCACTCAGATTGTGGGGCTGTGAGCTGATAGTAGGTGGGAGTTCTCAATGTCAACCACTTGAAGGAGCATTGACCTACAAGCCCAGGGCCCAAAGAATAAGGTTGGGCCAAAACAGACTGAAACTTGGAGTCTGAGAGATTTAAGAATGTGGGTGAAGGCCTTCCTCCTTTCTCATTGCTGGCCCAGGACCCAAACCCTCAGAGATGGGGTGTACTCACCAAGGCAGTGCAAGGAAACCAGGGAGCCTGAGAGACAGGGTCTGGAAGGGAGACACAGGGGCCCTGTGGTTGCTGCTTCTCCCTTGGCTGGGAGGCAGGGACTCAGGTCTTCTGGTATTATTGATTCAAGTTCCCTCCCAACACCTGGGAAATCTAGAACCTGTGTAGTGGGGACCGTGTATAAACTGCATTATCACTCAGTTCAGTTTGATTCAATTCGATTGGCTTCAACACCCCCACTGATAAGCAGGCACTATGTGCTGGGCCCTGCCTGAGTCAGAGCCCAACCTGGGCTCTTGGCGGCCTGAGATGGAAGAGGGCACCTAGAACAGTGTCTGCTGCACTGCAGGCTTTCCAAACAGAAGAACAGGATTTCCATGGAATTCTGGGCAAACAATCATTCTGCTCCCATCCCCGTCCTTATCAAGATTTACTCTTTAATGAATAAGCAGCCCTCAGCAACATCCCTGAATGCTAAGAAGCCAGCATCCTCTTTGAGCCACTCTGCTGCAAGGTGACAGGTTCATTTAGATGCTGTTCTCCAATGCAGGGTGGTGAGGCATAGGAACAGGCCATTGACAAGGGCCATGCACTCTCTTCCCTGGAGAGCTGGGAATGTGGAGAGGCCTTACTCTGGCCTGGATGAGTGGCAGGGAAGGACAAAGTGGCCTTTGGAATCTTGCCTAGAGGGCTTAATAAGGCACATAAGGCAGTAAGAAAAAAATTTGGTTTTACCATTCAACTGATGAAAAGGCCACCAAAGCGTGGACAGCACACTTGGTCCTGATGTCCATTGTAATAAAAAAAGAGTCAAGACAGAAAGTCTCTCAGAAATGAGATTCTCTAGCTCTTGGTATGTAATGCTCTGCCCAGCTAGGAGTTCTTCCTGTTGTCTGGCTTACATTCCTCTTGTGTAGATGTTTGTTCAGGGTGGGCTGGCTGCAGCCCTGATGGCAGCCTCCACATGTAGCCTTTTGTGAGCCAGAAGGTGTCCTCTCACTTACCCACTTGAGTTTCGCACCTGAAGCTCCTGGCTGTTCTCCATGATTTCAACAACATCCAGATCTTGGTTTGGGCCAATCTCCACAGCTCTGAAGGTGGGTTTGCTGCTTATATTGGGAGGAAGAGAGAGAGAGATGTGAGCTGGGGCAGGAGTTTAGGACAAGATGGTGGGACTAGCCCCCCTCTCCCAGGACAGAAATGTTAGGGATACCCTTTCCTAGCTCCCAGCTCTGTCCCTATTTCAAATGCCCCAGCAGTTCCTTCTGGTTCACAGTGAGGGGAACAAGGAGGCGAAGGAGCCCTGGTTAGCTCCCCCTTACATTTTGGAGGAAACTGGAATATGGATATTTGCTTCTCTAGACAAGGCATCTGGTCTGAATTTGGCAGTGGGGGTATATTTATGGTCCCCTAGGAGACAGGACAGGACCAGATCAGTCTTCCCACGAGTCCAGAACAAATATTTCTTTCACTTGGACCACCCTCTTTCTTTCTCTCTGCTAATTGATGTTTGTCTTCTTTCAAACCTTGGGTTTAAGTCTTCCCTCTTCCAAGAAGGCTTCCCTGATTAATCCCATCCTTCTGATTGTTCCTTTACTGAATCTGCCTCTTTCCCATCTCTCCCATCCTTCCGCAAGCAGTCATGCTAAGACAAGCTCTGTATGCAGGGCTCAGGTTGACCCGAGGCACTGGCTGACCGGCACATTCTCCGCCGGGAATCTGGCACTATCTGGTGGACTCAGGCCCTGCACGTGGAGGACTGGAGTCTAGCAGTGCTGAGTCTTGTGTTAAGAGCCCTCAAGACTGAGCTTCTTGTCCTGGCTCCAACACTATCTTGATGTGTAACCTTGGCAGGTCATACTCCTTCTCTGGGGCTCTCTGAGGCTCGGTTTCCCCCCTCTATAAATGATGGATGGACCAGATGATCTCTAGAGACCCTCCCACCTTGAACTATGTATGGTTTTGTGGTCCTGGGACAAGAAGGGCCTCCCATCCCGGTGGAGGAAGGAAGTAGAGAAATCTGAGACTCAGAAGGAGGGACAGTGGCGGAAACTGACAGGCCCAGGAAAGTTCACCTCAGTTCACCGATTACATGCTGATGAGTGTTTCTCACCAGCTTTGATTTCAGAGAGCTCAAGAGCCAGATGGTCTGGTGCCTTAGTGAGCTCCGGAAGGACAGAAAGTCCAGGAGCCTTTTACCTTAAGAACCCCTGGAGACATCCGGGTTTCGTAATCAAGCCACAGCCTGGTGTGCTGGGTACCGCCGAGGCTGCAGCTGGCTGGACTGCAGAGGGGGAGGGGCAGGCTGCAGCGAGGGGGCGGGGCTGGGGTGGCTGGCGGAGGAGGGCAGAATAGCAGGGGCAGGGCGTGCCTTCCCCGTTGTCTTTGAAAATGAAGGTGGCGGAGTGTCCTCGCCAGAGGGCACTGGGAGTTGTACCCTATGGAGAGTAGAGAGCCACAGAAGCCTGATAACCAGAGAGCAGAGAGGGCAAATAGGTCTGATGGAACAATAATGCTTGCTTGGAGCATTTACTGAAAAAGGACCTCGAGGCTGCTTTAGGGATCGATGGGCGAGAGTTCTGTGATTGATTGATGATGTCTGCCTAGTACTTCTCTTTTCTGTCTAGTTTCTGGGTCCAGTTTCTTAGAATCCTGAAGAAGTTTGGGAGGGAGAGGTTATCCCATTCTGCAACTGAATACACGGGTTCTTCCATCCTCTCCAGTTAGGCCCTCTGAGTGACCGACTGTCTCCACTCCCCGCCGCTCCTTTTATAGATGACGCTTCAGGAGAAGAGAGAATTACGCAAACTAGAAACAGAGATGCTACTGAACTCCTGATGCCCGGGAATTAGGAGGTCTTGGGCACCTCCTAATGCCCAAGAGGGAGAGGCCAGGCCTCTCCCTCCTACCTACTACCCAAGCAAGTTACTTACATTCTCTGAACCTATTTCTAAAGTAGATATGATAATAACTACCTTTTTGGTTTTTGCCAAGATCAGATGAATATGAACACATAATGCTAATTACCCTCATTATAATTACTTTTTCATCCACCGAGGATTTGGAACTGCTTTTGAAATTTGCTGAGAGAGCTGGGATTGTTGAGGCGACCCCAGTGAAATAAGTTCGTTTAAACTAAATTTTAACCAATGGGACTTTGAATAAGTGAGTAAGACTTGAATTTTGGTACAAGGATGGCTTCTTGCAAAACCAAGAAGAAGGAGTGAGGATTGAGGAGTAAAGGAAAGGAGATGCTTGCCAAGGAGCTAGAACTGTGTGTGGGGAGTGGGGTGGGGGCATACATTCCCTCACTGGCTCTTCATAATCATCCTATGAGGTTGGCATTACTTTCCCCAATTAACTCTTGATGAAACTGAGGCTTAGGAGATTTAACTTCTTGTTGCTTCTTTTTTTTTCTTTTTGATGGGGAAGATCAGCCCTGAGCTAACATCCATGCCAATCCTCCTCTTTTTGCTGAGGAAGACTGGCCCTGAGCTAACATCTATTGCCAATCCTCCTCCTTTTTCCCCACCTTTTTCTCCCCAAAGCCCCAGTAGATAGTTGTACTTCATAGTTGCACATCCTTCTAGTTGCTCTATGTGGGACGCCACCTCAGTATGGCCCAACAAGCAGTGCGTTTGTGCGCGCCCGGGATCCGAACCCGGGCCGCCAATAGCAGAGCGTGAGCACTTAACCGCTAAGCCACGGGGCCAGCCCCTTCATGTTGCTTCTAAGTGAAGGTGTTGGGATTCAAAAGTAGTTCTGTCTGACTCCAATACTTATATTTTTAGGAAAGGAGGAAGAAGAGGCAAAGAGGAAAGAAGAAAGAGAAGGAGAGAAGAGGTCAGAGGGGTGAAGGGACAGCCTCCAGAGGCTTGGGCTGGGTACCTCTCGTAGCCCATCTGCTCACAGGCTGTCTTGGCCAGAGCTTCTGTGAAGTTGTCAAAACAGGCAGAGGCCCAGTTCCTCGTGGCCAAGTCCAGCACCTGCAGGGTGGATCGGTCCTTGGAGAGGCGGACTGGGAGAGGAGGAACCTGGGTCAGCTCAAGGCAGGGGCCCATCTGGCCCATCTGCCTCAGAATTCATCATGAGACCAGCCCAAGCTCTCCCCACCCAGAACTGGGGAACAGCACAGAACACTAACCCTTTCAACCTCAAGGGAAGTTCCTCCATTTGGCTTTGCCTGATTGAGCCTTATTTTGACAGTAGCTAGGGTGACCAGTTGTCCTGGGGACAATTTCCATTTTGACCTGTTGCCCTGGCACAATTATTAATAGCTCCCCCTTTTGCTGTTACAGGCGTCAGTTTTGATGATATGTTATATGGCCCCTCTACCCATGGTCTACACAGCTTGCCCAGCCTGGGGAGACTTCTCAGCGAGGGGCCCAGCTCCTTCTCCATGTAAGGTCAGAGTAGGGAGGTGGAGTGAGAAGTACTATTGGCAGTAGGGTGGCAGGTGCCCATAGGCATTTGACTTCTGATTAAAAAAAGAGCAAATACGGGGCTGGCCTGGTGGTGTAGAGGTTTAAAGTTTGAGCTCTGTGCTTTGGCGGCCCGGGTTTGCAGGTTCAGATCCTGGGTGCCGACCTATGCACCACTTAATCAAGCCATGCTGTGGCAGGCTTCCCACGTATGAAGTGGAGGAAGATGGGCACAAGTGTTAGCTCAGGGCCAATATTCCTCAGCAAAAAGAGGAAGACTGCCAGCAAATGTTAGCTCAGGGCTAATCTTCCTCACCAAAAAAAAAAAAAAAAGGAGCAAATACACAGGAAGTCTCTCAGCCCTGCCCTTCAAAAGTCCCCATCACCCAAGTCTTGGGCTATGTCTTCTCCTCAGAGCCCAAGTACTAGGTGGATCAAGCTGGGCCAGCCCAGTCCAGGAAAGAACATGAGTTTTCTATGTTACAAACATCTCATATTCCTTTGAAGGACATAGCTCAGTCTTGTTACATAGCGTGTTACAGTAAACAATTATCTAATGAATAGAGGGATCAATAGCTGGCTAATGGCCTTACAGTTACTTTTCTAGTCCCCTTGAAGTAACAGATTTCATAGAAAGAAGGGAACTCCCCACGGTCATCCAATCCAGCTCTCTGCCTCAGTTCCACCCAGGTCCTGTGGGAACAGGCCACGCTCATTTATAATTTCCTATCCCCTCTGGTCCACATTTGTTCATCAAATATTTGCTGAGTGTTTGCGAAGTACTGGAGATCTAGCAGACGAGCCAAGGTCCTGTTCTTAAGAAACTTACAATAGGGATGGAAACTGACAAGTCAATTGGCAGATGCTATGCAATGGACCAAGGGGACCTGGGCTGGTTTCTTGCTGTGTCCACTCCCCTGATCCCTCAGCCTCTGGACTCACCTGTCACTGGAGGCCCCTCGGGGAAGTTCTTGACACAGTGCAGCTCGTCCTCCCCCGAGGCACAGTCCTGTTCACCGTCACACACCTGCCTCCTCGGGATGAAGTGGAGGGGCTGCCCACAGAGGAAGTAGGATTTGTCCAGGATCTCCTTGACTGGAAGGCAGGAGCAGGGAGGGGCAGAGAGGGCTGAGGGTCAAGCAGGCAGCCCAGGGGCAGGAGAGGCTGTGTTTCCCTGAAAATACGCTGGGCTTGGCGACAGACAGCTGTGGGTTCCAGGCCCAGTTATGCCACTTAGTAGCTGGTGTACTTGGTCCTGAGCCTCAGTTTTTTTATCTGTAAAATGGAGATAATAATACCTGTTCCATACCTATAAAATGGCTCAGGAGTTAAGTGAGATAATGTGTGGCAGAAATTTAGAAACAGCCCCACTAGCCCCTAACCCCCAGGTTCTGGCACGTTGCCTCTGGTAACGGGGGAGACAATGCTGGGCCTGGAGCCAGAAGACCTGAGTGCTGGCTTTGCCACCAACCGTGACTTCAGACCAATCACTTCCCCTTTCTGGGCCTCAGTTTCCTCATCTGTACAGTGAGATGATGGTAACACCATACAGGGTTGTTGAGAACATTCTGTGAGCTGGCGGTTGTGAAGGCGTCTCGTAACTATCAATTGCAGTTCCAGAATTAGGTGTTTTTATCTGGGGTTGAAAGGCCCGTTAACAAGTTGCTGTTTTGTTCTGTCTTCTGCCAGCTGCCTTCAAATTCTGTTGCTCCTTTGCTGTCTCGGGTAATGGGAATGAGTCTAGTGTTTTTAACTCTAGACTGGGGGCAGATATTTCAACACTTTTCCAAACTCTCCTGGCAGGAAGAGCTCCTCCTGCCTAAGGAACTCTCCTTCGGCTGGAGGGTCCCTCTGCCGTCCAGCCTCACTCCCCCGGCCCGAAGAGTGCTGGTAGGGCTGATGATGCCCCGCTCATCACTGCTGAGAGCTTCCATGCACTGCCTCCTGTAACCCTGACAACAACTTGAGGAGGTAAGTGCCAGTACTAACTCACGTCAGAAATAAGGAAACTGAGGTTTAGAGTTAGGGTTCGTTTCCCAAGGCCACACTGCACTTATGTGGTCAAGCCGGGACTTCAGTCAGGGTCTGTCTAGCTCTGAAGCTCTTTGCTGCCTCTCCACACCTTCCCTGAAGGAGCTCGGGGTGTCATCTGCTGACCCTGCGGCTCCTGGTTTGAGTGAAGCAAGGGAGAAGGAGCGGGTCGGCTGCTTCCTAGACCTTCAGGCTTGTTCATGGTCAGGAGCCAGCGCAAGGCAGGGTCACTCCAGCCTCCTGGGACAAAGCCAGGACACAGTGTCACCACTCAAGACCCCAGAAGCCAAAAGGTTGAGGGAGCCTAGCCCCCGCTGAGGGTGCAAGTTACTTCCTCTGGTTGCAGAGCCTGGGGGCCCAGGACATGGAAGCCACACAGGGCCTTCTGGGACACGGAAAGCTCAACTCTATTTATTTATTTTTTTTGTGTGTGAGGAAGATCAGCCCTGAGCTAACATCCATGCCAAACCTCCTCTTTTTGCTGAGGAAGACCAGCTCTGAGCTAACATCTATTGCCAATCCTCCACCTTTTTTATCCCCCCAAAGCCCCAGTAGATAGTTGTATGTCATAGTTGCACATCCTTCTAGTTGCCGTATGTGGGACGCGGCCCCAGCATGGCCAGAGAAGCGGTGCGTCGGTGCGCGCCCGGGATCCGAACCCGGGCGGCCAGTAGCAGAGCACGTGCATCCAACCACCAAGCCATGGGACCGGCCCCGTTCAACTCTAGATTACGCACTAGTGTCTGCCCTGGCTTCCGCTGGGGAATTTGGCCTCTTCTTCTCTCTCCACTGTGACGGGCATAGGCTCAGAGACAGCAAGCTCATCTTAATATCAGTCTGAACAAAACAGGCTTAGGATGGAAAATGTGCCGATGCCGCTGCTGACTCCACCAGCCCCTTGGGGCAGCCAAGGTCAAGAAGAAATGATTTTGGGTCATCTGCATTTCACGCTCCTGCGGGCTCTCTCGGGGATCTGGGTGTGTCTGCATTTCCACATCCACAAGATGAAAATGGACCGGCTCAATCGGGGGGCCTGGGGGCCTATCCCAGCTCTGTCCCCAACTGCCACACCTCCTCTCTGCCTCAGTTCTCAAGTGGAGAATGGGAGGTTGGACCAGATGTCTCTGAGTGTCCTCCAGCCAGGTGGGTGGCTGCTGCTGGTGGAAACGCCACCATGGTTACAAGTGCATGCTGCATGATGACCCACACTCTCACACAAGCTGGTTTTTATCCAGGCACTTCACACATTTTGTCTCATTGGTTGTCTGATATCCTTCTGAGGGAGGCAGGATGTTTTACAGATGAGGAGACTGAGGTTAAAGGAGGTTGAGGGACTTACGCAAGGTCACACAGCAGCAAGGGACGGTGCCAGGTGCTTATCCCAGGTGTCCTGATTCCTAGTCTGGTCCCCTCTGCGCTACTCCCTGTGAAAGCTGTGGTCAGTAACCTGCTGTGACTCTGGGGGAGATGAAGGCAAGGACTTAACCACAGGATGTGGGAGCTGAAAGGGAGGGACGGTGGGACTGTGGGAATGAGCACTGACTGTGCTCATTCAGTTTATTCTTCTTTGTCACAGTGGCCTGCCCAAGATCACATGGGCTCTCAGGCACTGGCCATGATGAAGGCAGAGCTAAAGGTGGGAAGGGGTGCTGTCTGCCTGGGCAGTCTTTCCGATGCCTCCTCTCTTTATCCCCCCCTCACGAGCAGAGATGCTCCCCACTCTTCCAGCCAGTAGGTTGCTCAGATCCTCTTAGCTCTCAGGCTGCAGACCTGGGAAGGAGGAGGCAGGGGGCGTGGCCGCTGTGCAAACTGCCTGCGTGGGTTTGTAACATGTGCAACTGTGCTCTCCCTGTAGAAGAAATCATCTGGGACAGAGCCCTCTGGGATAGAGGGGGGCTGAGTTCATCTCCGCCTTTCACTCTTAGAACAGTGCTCCCTTCAAAGCAGGGGGTGGATACAAAGCTTTATGCAGATCACCTGCCCATAACAGTACTGGGCTGGGAGGGTGGAGGCTGAGGGTGGGCTCTGAGGGGAGGTGGGAGAGTGGGAGGGTGGAGGGGTTGGGGGGTGAGAGCTCCCACTTATTGAGGAGACAGTGGTGGGGCTGCCACTTACTGAGGGAGTGAGGGCAGGGGTGGGGGTGCCACTTACTGAGGGAGTGAGGGCAGGGGTGGAGGTACCACTTACTGAGGACAGCCACGGTGATGATGATCGCCAGGCTCAGCAGTGTTGCGATGATGGGGACCCCCACCTTTTTGAAGGTCTCCAGGGGAGTGCGGGGTTTGCGCAGGGGGGTGACATCTGTGAGGCAGAGGGGAGGAGCCTGCAGTCAGCCATTGGAGACCACCCCTGCCAAGGCCCACAGCCTCCCTGCCCTCTGGCCCCTGGTGCTGAGCCGCAGAAATGCTTTGGGGACAGTTTGGGTTAGCGCTGGGGGCTGTTTCCTGCAGACTAGGCTTAGCTTCCTCAGCACACGGTCATCCCACCTCCTTTCACTTCCTCAGGCTTGTCCATTTCACGAGCACCCCTCAGAGGAGCCTCCAGCCCATGGTGCATTCCCCTTGTCTTGACTTAGCCTGCTTCAGGATGTTTCACCCTGTCCAGTCTGACCTGCGTCTGCCCTGGGAGAGCTGTGTATCTATTTACTTTACTGTCATTTATCCTCTTTCCTGACTTATCTTTTGATTGAACTATAAGCTCGAGGAGGAGGGCAGGGGCCTCCAGCACAGTATGTGCCTAGTAGAGGCTTAATAAATACTTGTGAATGAATTCATCCTAACGGCCCCCATCTCCAACTCAATTTAACAAGCAGCAAGTCCCTAGAATGGTCCTTGTCTTTAAGGAGATCACAATTTGGGGGAAGAGGCCAACAGGGACACAGTCGCCGGTACCACTAAGTGGGAGATGATATGTGTTATAATAGACACCCTCAAAGCACTTAAATGGGTCTCTGCAGTGGAGATGGGGAGGGAGGAGCTGGACCAGCTCAGCAAAGGCCTGGGGGTGAGCTCTGGTGTGGCTGGATGTAGGGTGGGCAGAAGCCTGCTGTGGAGGCAAGACTGGCACTCAGTTTTTGGGGAGTCTTGAATACCATGCTAGGAGTTTGGATTTTATCCTGAGGGCAGTGGGGACCCATGGAAAGCTTTTGAGCAGCAGAGAGACACAATCACATTAATATGTAGAAAGATGAATCTTTCATCAGGGAGGAGATGGATTGGAAGAAAAGAGTCTGGGGTTAGGGAGACCAGGTGGGAGCCTATCAATGCCTAAAACAGAGATAATAACTGTATTGTCCGTGTCACATGGTTTTCCAAGGAGATGGTACAGGGGAAAGGCTTTGAAAAGTTAAATTCTCAGGAGGTATCAGATACAGGCTCTTGTGAGTCCCCTCTCCTCACAGGCAATAAGCTAGGAGGTGCCACTGGGGCTTCTCCTCCAGGGAGGGCTGGGGCAGGAATTATAGCAACGCTGAGAACCCCTACAAAGCAATAGGCTGGCTCTCTTCCCCTCAGCTCCACATGGCTTGCTCCCTCACCTCCTTCAAATCGTTCTTCAGATGTCACCTTCTTAGTGAGGCCTTCCTTGACCTCCTATTTAAAATGCAGTCTTCCAACACGTCCTTTCTTCCTTCCCTGTTTTATTTTTCTCCAAAGCACTTATTACCTCTAATGTGCTCTATATTTTACATATTTTGCATATTTTTCTGTCCCCTCCCATCCCTGCCCGAAATGAAGACTCCATGAAGATAGGGATTTTTGTCTGTTTTGTTCACTTCTGAGTCCCTGGTGCCTGGAACAGTGCCTGGCCCACAGTGGGCACTCAACAAATATTTGTTGAATGAATAAATGAATTGCTCTTTGCTTGTTCTCTTAATCACATCACTTCCATCTTTCTTGCAGGTCTCATTTTATTCTGCCTTGAATGATGGCTAGTTATGTGTCTGTCTCTACCCCTTTCCTCAGCTCTTTGAAAGCAGAGAATGGCAGCCTGGCAGAGACTGGTGCCCACCAAGTGCAACATCATTGAATCTGTTGATAAAGAAAGCATAGGAAACTTTGTGTTTCCTCAAAAGGGAGCATTTAAACCTCAGACCCAGAGCTCAGGCCCTAGAGATGTGGGGTGGTATCACCTGTTATTATCAGGACCTGGCACAAAGTAGGTTATCAATAATGTTAGAGAATATTGTATTTAAATTTCAGCAGTCAACGTTCAAAACTGTCCTCTTTCCTGTGGCCATGGACATGGTGGCATTTTGTTCATTCATGCATGATTTCTTTCTTTCTTTTTTTTTTAATTTTTTTTTTTGTGAGGAAGATCGGCCCTGAGCTAACATCCATGCCAATCCTCCTCTTTTTGCTGAGGAAGACTGGCCCTGAGCTAACATCCATGCCCATCTTCCTCTACTTTATATGGGACACTGCCACAGCATGGCCTGATAAGTGGTGCATGCCTGGGATCCGAACCCGGGCCGCCAGCAGCGGAGCGCGCGCACTTAAAAGCTATGCCACGGGGCCGGCCCCCATGATTTATTTCTTGAGCATCTACTTCTGGGGACATGGGGGTGGCTTGTTTTCTCAGAGGAGAATGACCTGTTGGGAGCCCCTTGATGAGATCCCCTGTCCAGGGCCTGATGTCTCTGCCTCCCTGATATTCTCAGGGAGAGCATCATCATGAAAGGAAGGATTTTCTTGGTTTATTGTCTCATACCTAGTTTGAGTTAATGAACCCACTGAGCTATGAATAGCCTCCCTTCTTTCCACTGTTCCTTCCTCCAGCCTGTCCTGCCCACCGGTGCCAGGCAGAGCTTCCCAACAGATTGCTTTCATCCCGTCACTTCCCCGCTTGAGAACCTTCAAGGGCTCCCCATGACTTCCATAGCTGGATCACCCTCTTCCTTGGGCTTGCTTTCAAACCCAGTGTAATTTGGCCTCACTCTCTAGCCAAAGGGACTTCCCACTACTGGCCCTCGCCAATCCCCAGTTCTACATAGGCAGGTTCCCTCCCTCGTCCTTGTACAACCCATATTCATTCTTACCTCTGAATCTTGTCTCCTGCTCTTTCCTCCACCATGAGAGCCTCCTCACTTCCTTCTGTTTTGTGATGGTTTACTCCTGCAGGGCCCTTGTCAAAGTTTGCCTGACCCATGATGCTATTCTTGATCACTTGGCATTGATCTTTCCCTCCCGAGCTCCCTTCACACAGGGCATTGGTAGCAAATTTAACTGTTTTCTGGATTGGCAGTTCTCAGGCTTCCTCGGGTGGTGGAGCACTTGGACGTCTGGGGTTCTTTGGGGACACCATGGTCTATTGATATATTAAATTCCAAAGTATAAACTAGGCATCGTTTTACTTGCTGAAGATTACATCATTTGTGATCATTATGACCTTGTGACCCTGAAATAATAAGCTGTCAAAATAAGTGGGATTGATCATTTCCTTACTGATCTATTGTATTAATTTGTTCTTTGCTCACTTGTTTTGCTGCTCTAGCATCCTATCAAAAGTAGGTCTTAATAGTTTAAGAAAACAAAAGGAGGGAAGAAATTCCTTAACTTTGGGAATACTCTATTAACTTATTTTTCTCCTGTAAATCAGGCAAATACAGCCATTTTCTATTCTACCAGTGAAAACGCCTTTGTCCAGCTTGTTGCTTGGCAGCATGGTCAGACTGTAAACTCCATGAAGGCAGGGACTTGGCTGTCTTATTTGCTGCCACAGCCCAGCATCCAGCTCAGGGCCTGGCACATGGCAGGCACTCACAGTGTTGCTGAATGCATGAGAGGCTGAGTACCTGAATGAATAAACTGGAGAATTGCTGCTCTTGGGGTTTTAGGTTTGTTGGTTCTATTTCCCCAGAGACTATGCCTCCTACTTCTAGAATGAATCCTGAACTTACAGTTGCTCAATAAATGTTTGTTGAATGACGGGTGGGTAGGTGGATGGATGGATGTCTTCTGCAGCATTTAGCACTTGGTAGTGGTGGTGAGGGCCATGCAAGAAGGGTTTAGTATCTACTTGGTAACTGATTGAAACTCAGAGGCTAATGTAGACAAAGGAAAGCTGGATCTGAGCTTACCAAAGCTATCCAGGGGTTGATCGCTGTCAGGATCCTGTAATTGAAGGAAAAACAGGCAGTGAGCAGAGTATGGGAAACTCTTAGGCTGGGGCCAAGGACCTAGAGGAGGCTCTGTGTTCTTGTCTGTATTCCCTTCTTCCAGCCGAATCTAAGTTGAGGGGCTCTGTGACGTCCAAACAGTTGGTTCAAAATATAAAATTCAGTTATGCATCTATATGACCTGGTACAATTAGTTCATTAATTGTAACAACTCATTAGCAATTGTTGAAAGGACTGGCTGCTGGGTTGTTGTGTGTACTGGTGTTTCTCAAGATGATGCTGCCCTACTGTCTGTTTTTGTCAATCATTTGTCTACTTTTACAGCTGTTGTAGTTCTATAAAAACTTGAACAGACCCTTCACAAAAGGAGATACACCAGTGGCCAATAAGTGCCAAAAGATGCTCGATATCATTACTCATCAGGCAAATGCAAATTCCAACCAAATGAGCTATCTCACCATAGACGTCATAATGGCTAAAATTAAAAAGATGGACAATACTAAGTGTTGATGAGGATGTGGAGCAACTGGAACTCTCATACATTGTTGGTGGGAGTGTAAATTGGTACATATACTTTGGAAAATGGTTTGATCAAATCTACTAAAGCTAAACATGTGACTATTCTATGATTCTATGACTCAGGAATTATAGCTAAGACAAATGAGTGCATATATTTAGCAAAAAACCTGTACATGGATGTTCGTGGTAGCTTCATTCATAATAGCTAAAGTTTGGAAAAATCCAAATATCAGTCACTGGTGGAATAGATAAATTAATTGTGGTATGTTCATATAATGGAATATAATTCAACAATCGGCAAGAATAAACCAGTGCTAAGCGCAGTGACACACGGATGAATCTCTTAGACATAATGAAGGACAGAAACTGACACAGAGTGTACTCTGCCTGATTTCATTTATATGAAGTTTAAAAGGTAAAGTTAATCTGTGGTGAGAGAAGTCAGAAGAGTGGTTACCACTGGGGAGGTGGGGTGGTTATTGGAAGGAGCACAATGGAGGCTTCTGAAATGTTGCAAAACTTCTAGATCTTGATCTAGGTGTTGGTTACATGGGGGTCTATATGTGCAAAAATTCACTGAGTGGTATACTTTAGATTTGAGTACTTCACTGAACGTATATTATACCTAATAAAACAGATAAAACCAAAACCCACCAGAGCACTGTGGTATTTCTGTGAGTCTAGCCTCAGGTCACCCTCGACCATATACACAAGGCTCTGTCTCCCACTTTCTCCCACCACTTCATGTGTGCACTGGGCACACACGCAGCCACACGGGGTCACACACAGGAGCCGTGCACACAAAGGCTCACATGCAGAGTACATGTACCCTCTTTCTTGCAAGGCTAAGGTTAAGCAGGAGTGCTGTTAAGGGTCCTGCTCTCTGAACCCTTCCCTCACTCTCTTGCCTCCCAGAAACCTCTCTTCTCTTTCTTCCCTTTCCCAGCTGGCGCAAGACCTGGACTCCCTGGGCTGAGTGAGCAGCAGGCCTGCCCGAGGTCTAGGTTTCTACCCAGGCACTCGCCTGTCCGTTGTGCTGAGGTCATGACGGCTCCAGTGGTGGGTGGAGGAGCTGCAGGACCCTGTACATTTCCAGCTGGGAATTTTCCCATTCCCATTTGGGAGTGAAGTGGCCTCTTCTAACCCCCGGATGAGTGTCCCAGATTAGATATAGGGCATCCCTGTGTGTTGCCTGCTCCCATGGCTGAGCATGGCAGATATAGTCATTGGGAGAAGGAGCGCTTTCCTCCCCTCCTTAACTCTGTAGTCTGCTGGAGAGATGTGCCTGGTTTTCCCTTCCTTGACACTAGGCTGTGGGTGGCTGGGGGATGTAGCAGAGACAGCCAGGCTCTGGAGTCTACAGGGGCTGAGTTGGAATACAGGCTCTACCTCCTAATAACTGTGAGCCTTTGTGCAAGACACTTAACCTCTCTGAGCTTCAGGTTACCCTCTGTAAAGGGGAGAAGTGCTGCTGTGAGGATTAAATGAGATATCTGGTGGGAAGTGCCTGGCTCACACATGCGAACCCCCTTCCCTCTGCCCGTCCATCCTGTGCTCCCACAGCATTTGGTACAGGACTTTATTACAGCACTCTCCCATTGGGAGGCCGCTGTTTCTTATTGCCCTGGTGCCCTCAGTGTTTTGCATCAGGCTTGAACCTGGTAAAGACCCGATAAATGTCTGTTAAATTGAACTGAACTCTGGGCTCTGCACGGTGGTTCATGCCCGGCCATCTCTCCTCCACCATCACCAGGTCTGCATGGAGGATTATTTCCAGGATAAAGATGAGAATGAAGTGAGTGATTCTGCATTGCTGAGGCTACAGAGTCAGGTAATAATAATACCAAACAGTAATCTACACACCGTCAGCAAGTAACAGTTTACAAAATCCTTTTGTCTAACTCAGTCAAATTCAAGGGTGAAAAGGGTGGATACCAACTGTCTGATAACCAGTATGGGTAGCACTAAATAATTAAGTATTAAATTAAACAAATATTTGTTAAGTGTCTGCATTGTACCAGGCACTACTCTAGGAGAAGTGAATTCAAACACAAATAAGAAATAATTACAGCAGGATGGGAGAAGTGTCCAGACGCTGGCTTGCCTTTGAGAAGCTTGCACCCTGGGGCAGGGAGTGGGGCGTGGGGGTAGAAGCAGGGGGAGGACAGGCTGTAAACACACAAACCAGAAAAGCGCAGACGGTGAAGGGCACTCTGCGGAGAGTAGGCCGGTGGTAGGAGACAGTGCCTGGATGGACACTTAGAGTGGGAGGTCTAGGGAAGGGGTCACGGTGGTTAGGGAGGGCCTCTGGGTTGAGACTTGAATGAGAGGAAGGAGTCAAGCAGGCAGGAGCAAGCTTGTTGTTGGAGGAACTGAATAGAGACCCACATGGCTGGAGCAAGACCAGGACAAGAGGAGGAAGAGAGAGGCTGGTGGTGGAAGATTCAGTGTGTGCTTGGAAGATAAAGGCAATAGGCCTCCCAATGGATTGGATGCTCTTGGGTTTTTAGCGAGCAGGAAAGAGGGTATTTGCTGAGATGCAGAAGGCTGCAAGAGGGGCAGGTTGGAGGGTATCAAGAGCATCCAGTTAGTGGCCCTTCCCCTGTCAATTCATCCTTTTTCACTGAGTCTACCTGCATATATGTGCCTGCATTAGTTGAGGTAGGGCAAGTCTCTTCTGTTTATTATTAGTTCAACAAATACTAACTATCTGCCTTTGATGGGCCCAGAATTGTGCTGGAAGCCGAGACACAGAGGGAAAAAAAGAGGCTTACAGACTGCACTTTCTGGGGTCTTGGACTCCTCATCTCTGAGCTGAAGAGATCTCAGTACCCTTTAGCTAATCTGTTTTTAATTGCTATCTACTGAATAGTGGTTATACAGAAAAAATTCTGTGTCTTTTTGAAAACAAAAGAAAGAGAAAAAATAGCCTAAATCAGAACTGCAAGTTAGAATTACAAAGACTGTTAACTATCTTGGTAATTACTGCATCCCTGCTGTCTCCTACAATGCTGGGCACAGAGTGGGCATTTAATAAATATTTGTTGAGTGAAAGAATTAAGGAAAATATCTCAGTTTCAGGACTCAGTCCCAGGCCAGCCTTGAAGAAGCTGACTGCAGTATATTCACACAATGGAATATTATGCTGCAGTCAAAACAAATGAACTATGGTGCCACAAAATAATGTGGATGGCATTAGCAATTTAATATTAAAGGAAAAAGTAAGTCCTAGAAGATTACATATAACAGAATCTTTTTCATAAGGAAGCAAGAAATGATGAACATGGGATTCGGGTTGATGCTTACTTTGACAGGCGGCTTCCAGCACAGTCCTTGGCCTGTCAAAGATGTGCAATCAAGATTTGTTGAATTCATAAACCAAAGAGACTTGCCCACCTACCTCAGCAGGGGGATCTCCTGGTTGGATGTAGGTTATTGTTAAGTCCCAGCTTTGGTTTGGGGTGGGTTTATGGAGCCTTATTCCGTTGTTCAAACCATCTAACTAGCTGCTGAGTTCCAAGGGGGCCCTGCATGGATCCATAGTGAAAAATGTCATGTATCAAGGACCACGATTCATCCAGTGTCATACCCCTGAGAGCCAAAGAGAAAATAAAAAAGCAGCCCCCTGACTATGCTGAGGGGTCCTGTCCTCCTGCTGCTCTGCTCCGAGTCTCATGCTGCTAGAATTCTTTCAGTTTGTGGCCCACTCTTTGACTTTTCTTGAAGCATCTCTGGAAAACATCTCCAACACAGAGAGATCAGTGATGGTGGGGTGCTAAACTTCTGGGAAGGGGAGCTGCTGAAGGTCATGGGCATCGGGGATAATGGACAGGGAGGTGGGTGCATTTTAGGCCTATGAGTGGCAGTTGGGGAATACCAATGTCAATGTCTTTCCCAAGCAGGATAGAGATGGGGATGCATAGCAGCTGCATCGCCTCTCAGCCCAGAATCAATCCTGGGAGAGGAAAGGAGAAAATGGGGCTGACATGTGGATACCAAGTAAGATTCAGTGATCTGACCGGGCCCCCCAACCGCCCCCATCAACACTGTGGCAGGTTCCTGCCATGATCACAGCATGCAAAGATGAAAGGGTCTCCGGAGAGCATCCCAGGCAACTCCCTCATTTTCTGATGAGAAAACAGGCCAGACAAGGGAAATGTCTTGCCCTGGAGTTGATAGAGGGAAGGGGGCTCAGAGGCCACCAAGGACCAACTGTGCCTCTTTCTTCGCTGGAAGCATCTCTGTTTATCTCCAACTTGAACTCAGCTCCTGGCCACAACTGCCACAGCCCAGGGCCAGCCCAGCCCACGTGAAGGCATCAGCCTTTCCCTTTTTGTTGGGGCCACTGGCTGGGTCAGGCCTGTCTGCTCTGTTGATTCAGCCTGCCACAGAGCTCTGACTCTTGGGTCCAGCCCAACCAGTGTCCAACCTAGGGGTCCCCTGGGAATGAGGCTCCTGCTCTCTGGAGTACAGTGC